TGAAACTTCTGAAACTCTAGTTACAATATCATTAGAACGAACACCAGTTACTAGAACAGAATGTAATGCATAATTCGATAATTCAAATTTATTTATTCCTGTTCGAACTTCAAACATAAATTTAACACCGGTTATGTTATGCTAGATTTAATGAGTAAACCAAAGTAAATAGATTTGAATCGCAAAATTGCGCGGTATATTTTAATAGTACATTGATATATCACTAACAATAAGTATAATTAACGTATGCATAATTCATTGAAATTATCGATAATAATTGATAATAATACCTCGGAAATTGGAAAGCATCGAAAGTAACAATTGCTGTTAAGTACTGTGATATTTTAGTATGTATATATCAATTATGACACAATCTTACAAAATAAATATAATAATATTCCAATAATAGTTAAGCATATCATTTTTTAGCTGAAAGGTTTTATTGTATATTAGAAAAGCAGAATTTTAGGGAATGCAAAAAATAAAAGTAAAATGAGAAAATAGGGAAATAGTGAAACAGTAAAGTAGTAAAATAGTACAGTAATACAGTTATAAAGTTGTAGAATAAAGTATTAACGTAGTAAAATAGTAAAGTAATAATAGTGAAATTCTAGAGTAATCAAATATAAAAAATAAAAGCACATGTAAAGTTAAATTTAAATAGCCATTTTATTTTCATTCTGATATCCACATATTTCAAAATTATAATTTTAATGTTATTTCCTGAATAAAACAAGTGAGTAGCGCTAAAAGAAGAATGGAAGAAATTATTATGTAAAATTAGTTGTCAAATCTAATCCTAACCAACGAACAAAATTTTAAATGATTTTATAACTTGAAACTTTGTACCATATTTTAATTTCGTACCATGTTACGTTTAGGAATATCACCGTTGTTGCGAAATGATCCTAACATATTTAGATCCGTACTATCGTCCAGTTTATATACATCACAAATTTTGAATAGAAAGTGCAAAGTACTAAAGAAAAAACCGGAACCAATACATGTAGCTGTTGTAAGTACACATAATGCATACTATTTATATTTTATAGGATATCTGTAAATTATGTATTCTATAATCATAAATTGAAAGTGATATGAACAGAGGTTACTTTAAATTGAATTACACGTCAGATACCTATATAGAACTAAATTTTTATAACGCTTTGGTAATTATTTAATAACTTTTACAGTATCCAAAATAATATAATGATCCTTTTATCCTACATTTACAAGTATGTTCAATGTATTAAAAAAATGATTTCGCTAATTAATGAACAATATTTACAATTATAACACAGAATAACTTAAACAATTTGAATAATTTAAGAGATTTACTGATTCATTTAAATTATTTAAATCGCTTGAATAACATATAATATAAATCAATTAAATTATATAAACATCTTAAATCAGTTACACATCTGAAGTATTATACATAAATGAAATAACATGATTTAAATAACCTGGGCTTTTCAGTTTAAGGAACTTGAAAAATTTTAATTATTCCAAATTATAAATCATGTAACGAACTTTAAATTCCTAATTTCATATAACTGAAACAGTTTAGATAACTTAAAGAATTTCTTAAATTCCTTTTTTCTCTACAAGAATTTCATGAAGTCCAGTTAAACGTCTTGAATAATTTAAGTAAATTCATATTGACATTTGAAATGACCATATACTTTTAGTGTTTATGTATTTTTTTTAAGGTATATTAAAAAGGCAAAGTAATAATATAGAATTAAAATTAAAAATGGTTAATTTAGCATTACGGTTCATTATGCAAAAACATATTTCAATGGCATCAACTTTTCAACTATTTACTATTTACATATTCGCAAGATACGGTCAGTATTCAAAAATAGCTCACAAATGCGTCATAATAATTTTTGAACACAATTTTGCACGTTTCAAGAAATATAGATATTTCAGCAGAATGAAAATACTTTGAAAAATTAAAAGAATTTTTTAATGCGTACATATCCGGTCGTTTTCACTACAAATTTATTTCGATCATGACATACATATATGACATAACCACCTCAGAAGCGAAATATAAGTACTTTGATATGGAAGATCGAGTAGTATTATTGGACATGAGTGAATTTCTTAAGGAAAAATAAGTCGGAAGCATGAAATAATGATCTTTTGCCTGCCTGTTTTCAAAACAATTGGGTTTATAATCTCTTCAATTTAATTTTAGAAAAAAGCTGTTTACAAAAGAAAAATTATAATTAAAAAATTTGCATGATATAAGTTAATAGATACTGTACATTGATATAATGACATTTTCTGAATACTTTGTGTGTATAGCTCGATCAAAGCAAATTGTATGAACTTTATTATTTATCTATTAATTTTAATAGAGTGTACGTATATTTATGTTAACAGTTGTGATTCAGTCCCCTTTGTTCTCATGATAAAAATTACATTGTATATTCATCTCTATTCATTTGATGACGATATATGCAAAATGTCTTGAATTAGTTTGAAGCTTTATTAAGTCTTTCGAAGACAAAATAATTACGTCTTGTTACTCTATTTATATGCACAATGTTATTATATTAAAGTTTTACTGCATGATGACTTATTATGTGATAGGTTGACACTTTCAGATTACCTATTTTTGATCTTCCCAAGATCATGATAATACAGTGCTTTAATTCGCATTACCTATTTTTAATTAAATTCTTTTTTTCCTCTAAACATGGTTTGGAACTATGTTAAGAAATCAAACTGTAATACATTATTGATAAAGCTTATGCCATCCGCAGCATATACAGTGAAAGAGAAAAGTATTCGTAGACTTGAAATGTATTATAGAAATAAAAAGATAATATAAGCCACAGTACAAATAAATATCAAATAGAAAAAGAACATTTAATGTTGTATTAATAAAAGAAATAGGGATTTTAATATAAAACTAATATGAAACAGCATAAACAGTTTATTGTGACTTTATCTTCAAAGTGAAATAGAAATAATTATTTAAATTTACAGTAAGATATTTTACATCTGTATCAATATGCCCCAAAGCATTATCAGTTTACTGTTCACTATTTACTATTCACTGTAGAGTAAATGGGTGCATTTTAATTACATCTAACATTTTCTAATTTATTTTGTTTGCATTTTTGTTCACTATTTCATTTAAAATATGTATGTATAAAGATAAATCCAAAATATATGTTAATATATCTTTTATCAAATAATTAATTACAATCGCAAATGTCACAAGTACACGTAGCATGTTATGTACAGCAAGAAAAGGTATAGCTATTGATTGATAATACATTTTAACCATATTAATAATTATATTTATTCATTTATAATATACATTAATTGAAATAATGGGGAGCAACTGATATTAGCAGTTTTCTACTAAATTCTACTTAATATTAATTTTATTGTATATTAATATTAAAATTTAATTTACAATAAATTTTCTCAAAAACGTAGCTACCCATCAAAAATCGTTGTTCTATATCCCCGATTTATTTTTTATTAAGAATTTACTTATGCCCAGTTACATTGACCAAGATATCTTCTATTACATAATTAATAATCTGTCACGAATATTATTTTGTGCAATATCATTGCGGAAATAGTAGTAAATGTGGAAAATATAAGAAAACGTTGTCTCAAATATTTTTAATCGGAACGAAATAATTTAAATATGACTTGAAATACTTATATAACTACGAATTATTTATTGCACCACTTTTTTCTCTAATCGAATCTCATTTTCTTTAATGGGAAAATAGCTAAACATTTCTATCATTAAATTATTCATTTCTTAATAGTATCTTTAGATTAATAAGCTTGCTTGAATCGTCGTAATTCTTGTGCAGATACTGCTTCATTTCTGCACGCGAAAATTTAAACGTGGTTCAAGTTATTTCCTTATTAACTCATTCAAATATAAATGATTTCCAGTTGAAATATTACTCACCGTAATAGCTCTTCTGTAAACGTACTCTAATGTTCTTTTTGCAGAGAGTGAAAACGTATATCGATTTGTTTCTTGAAAAGTATGTAACTGTAACGCGGATTATAGTTTCGCGTAAAAACAGTGAACATCGTTAGCGAACAGAATGATTAAACTGTTAAATTCTTGATCGTTCCTGCGAGTTTTGTAATTCATTTCCTGATAGAAAATACTTTTTAAGGTACATTCTATTGCCTAATTACAAATGTTAAACGCTTGATTCGTAAGCACTAAGTAGCTGCTGAACAGGAAGCCATAAATCGTAATGTGTAAAGTATTTGAAAATTAAAAGTTGCATTGGTATTATATGAAAAAAAATATAATTTGTATATCGCAATAAGAATCAGTTTAGTAAATATAAAAAGAATGATGTAACTCTATACGTAATAGAATATCTTTCGTACTGATGAACGTGCAAAAACACCCGAGAATAAATGTTTTAACACATTGAACTTATACAATGGTTCGAAAAATTTATTCTTGCGTCCACGTTTATATGAAATTTGTATAAGATCATATTTTTGCTGCGTATTAATACTCATATAGTAAATTTTCCTATGGAAAATAGTGACAGCAGCGAGAGACCTTATATTAGCCCTTTTGGTTGGATAATTTTGTTTTATCTTTGTCATGGAAACTTGAAATTTTCATTATGTACATTTCTTCTGAAATATCCAGTATGGTATAATTTTCAAGTACATCTTTCTAAAAGAAAAATTCCCCAAAATATATTATACAAAAAATATATAAAGAAAAATAAGAGTATTCATTTCACATTAATATTATTATCTACTAGCAATATTAAATCAAATAACTATTTATTAATTTCTCAAATTATGATATTTTGACAGAAAATTAGCGTTAAACTTTCGACACTCATACATCGAAAAATTTAAACAACATAAAAAATACGGTTTTCAGTTTATTTAAGTTTATTTAAGTCAGAGAATCTGCATGTAGTTTAAAAGTATAGTAGAAAGTGTGGTCATTTTGAATAGATCACTAAAAAATGCCTGATGATTTACGAATCGGTGTATGGAATGTTGATAACAAAGGAGTTAATGATAATGTACAAAATGGTTTGCATTTAAATATTTTTACCGTAGATTTTATGCGGGTGTGGCTATCTCGATGGTACCGAAATTTCAGAAGCTATGAGTTCTATCATACATATTATACAGAAAGGTATGGTACCACGTTTTTACGCGCCAGACATAGAAATCTGTGAGACTGTCAATCACTATACCAAAGAACCTGACCCAGACAGCCCACCCAGAAATGCATTAATTGAAGCTGCCAGAATAACTAGATCATGTATACAACCACTGTGCGAATGTGAAGCTTGTACGCATAAAGCACTTGTACTCCCTGGAGGATTTGGCGTTGTGAAGACGTTGTTAGTATTCAAATTATACGTGAAAGTTGTAATATAGCTTCACGGCTAATTAATATATTAATCCTTGAAATACTGATTGAAAACAGTGAATCTGTTTGTTTCGTAACTAAATTTTCATGCTACATGCTTTAAATCTAGTTTTTCGATGTAAATAATTTAGTAATGCTTATTGCATAGAGATACAAAGAATGTACTGTATATTTTGGACAGTTACTGAAACCATACTACTTAAGAAATTTTTAATTATACGAAAAATTAAATTATGTTTATGAAAAATAACTTAAAGAAATTTAAACAGTATTTTTGGCAAATGATGAAATGAAATCTTATTTAAGTATTTGATGTAAAGCATTTAATTCAAGCATACCATTTTTTGAAGTTATTTTCTTGCTTCTGCAAAGTCATCTGAAGATTATGATATGAAAAGTCCTTGAATTTATCTTGGCACGAACTATGTATAATACTACTAAGTAAAAAATATAAAGAAGCTTTAAAAAAAAGAAAGAAGGTAATCTTGATGATTATAAAAAATATTTTTCGGAAGTTCGTTTTATTGTAATTAGTAGTGTAGACTCACTACGCGAGTAAAGTGAGTTTATTGTTTATCAATGCGAGGAATGACAAAGTTGTCGAAATTGGAAACCGAATTGCCTTTCAAATAATTATCTAGCCACTGCTGTTCTATGTTATTGATGGTTTGAGTGTGAGGAGTAACTTTAAACGAACCTGTCTCAATTTCAAATCGGTTGTCATGTGTCTTACAATTAGTTTGATAATTTAGAATTGGTTCCGAAAGTTTGATGTCTGGAATTTCGACAGACAGAGGTGGTATCTCGTTCAAATATAATTGTCTGATACATTTCATTGCATTGTCATGGATCTTTCGTGAAAATGAAAAGTTTGGTAAGATTGGAAGTTTCAGTGTCGGTGGTTTTTTAGGAGTTGCTGGTCGGGGAAATAGAATTCGATACTTGTTTAGAATTTTGTCTATTGGCTTGTATAGCTGTTCAGTCTATATTTTGGTCATCTTTATCTTTTCCGATCTTGTTAAATACTCTTGTTTATTGTTGCTTGGCTTCCGTTTGTTAAATTCTTTGACTGGATTTATATTGATGGAATGAATAATGTTTGTCTGATGAATTGTAAAGTTTTTGTGCGTTAAAAAATTTCAATAAACTTTATTTGTTTAAATAATATTTTGAAAATTTCGATTTTTTTTTTAAATTTTTGCACTAAATGTTGATCTATTTTTTTGCAACTTCGTGTACGTAAACTATGGACAAAAATAGAGGATACGTGTTTTTGGAATTTGTTGTTTGTTGCAATGTTTATTAGATATAATTGTTCTAAATGAATAAGAAATAACGTTACAAAATTCGGTTATTCGGTAACAACTGGAAATAACGTTAAAATTTGTATTTGATTAATGTGAATTTACATTGTGACATAGTGGTAGACTTTTATTTTGATAATAAATTTTGTCTACTACATAAATTGCAATTTTAAACCTATTTATTCAATTGTATTTTATTTCTTTGTAAATTACAATCAATATAAAACAAGTAATGTAAGAAAATTACATGAAATATTATGTTATTCTGATAATATATAGCATGCAGTTAATTATTTGACGATATGTTATCAAACCAGTGATTATTTTATTTTCAAAATAGCCACCCCCCTTCGGGTACATTATAAATGTCGTAAAAGGAAGGTTTATGTACTTCTTAACCTTGATTTCGATATAACATCATTCATAAATCCAGGAGACATTTATGTAAAGATTTATGTGTCCCCGAATTAAACGATTAAACTCTGAAGAAATATGAAAAAAATTTTATATTAATTCGTTAACTGATGAGCTGATTTTATCTAGCCGTATTTAATGTTATATTTCGATAAACATACATACAGGGTGTCTCACAAGTAGAGTAACTTCCGGAAATATGTGGTAGAGGACGTCAATCTGAACAAGATTTCCCTTTGCAAAACTGGGGTTTGAAGCTTCGTTTTTCCATTATTAAAGAAAAACGTGGACTAATCAGAGCGGGAGGATTACGCGTGCCCAGAAGTTAGAATGACAGCTTTTTTTTTACATATTAAAGTTGAGCTCAAACAGTTATAATGTGACACAGTTAATTGAAACAGATCTACCAAAGCAAATTTATGTTTTTTTTTTTTTAAATTGCTTTCATTTTGACATAAAATATTTCGAATTCTTCGAACAAAAAAGTCTTCGAAAAATCGTTCGTTTGAGCGTTAATAGGTTAACTTAGGTTTTTAAACACTTTATTAAAACAATAAGTTTTTCAATAATATATACAGTGCATCTTAATAATGGACGACTTTCTGTATCAATACTACGTACAACTTCCATATCTCTTTTCACTTTTAATACATAAACATGTTAATACATGTAAACATTTTTTTTATTTTTACTCACTTTTTTTATTTGAACACAATGATTCAATTTGATCGTTTAATCTGAAGACAATCTGAAGACAGTATAAGGTGTAGCAATTAAATATAAACAAGAGTATGACTGTTTCAATAATTAATCATGGCGACGATTAGATAATGGGTTGACAAATTTTTAACTTACAAATGAATCTTCTCTTAAATAAAATGTTCAATCAGATGCTATTGTTTCTAGAATTGTTTAAAATAAATTCTTAATAATATCGCTTTTTAGATAATGTACTTATATGTTATTTTAATAAAATAATAGCAAGTATTGCAAATAAGAAATCCTATGAATAAAACAAGTAAACGATAACAAAAATAAGAAATAAAATGTTCTTGTGATAATCATTCTTAAACTTATCAAAATATTGAATTTTATACGCAATAGAGAAATAATACTGTATAAAAGAAGAGTTTTTAATATATACAAATTATTGCGTTTTACAGAAGTAATTTTGCTCAAAAAGGCGCTGACTGTACTATTCTTCCGGATCTGGAGAAACTCATTGAAGACTTTTCTTGTGCGAAAAAACCGATTGCAACGATGTGTATAGCAAGTGTCCTAGTTGCAAAAGTATTGAAAGGTTGTAAAATCACGCTTGGACGAGAGAGTAAGTTATTCAAAAAATGACTTGTATCATACTTTATTTATAAACAAGTTTGTAGTACTCAATAAAGACAGAAATTTTAAAAAATTGTCAAAACTGTATTTAATAAAATAGAATCAATTAAATAAAAAATTTATTATTATTGTACAAAGGAAGAAGTTATAGAATATTAAAACTAAATGAGCAAGGTGTTACTAAACTCGTATTTTAAGTAAGAAAACAACTACACATCGTAAAACTGGCTGAGAACTAACTTAATTAGGAATCATTCGTTTTATTGGTATAAATAAAGACATGTTTTGTCTTCTTTCAAACCTTTATTAATATTTAGGAATAAAATATTTTTCTGTCTTTTAATTAGATTAGATTATTTCGTTTTACAAAAAAAATACTTGTCGATTTCTAATTACCTTTTATTCTATGTTATTAATGTTACACATACTTGTTTTATTCAGAAAAAAACGTGAATTAGTTACAATATACGATATCGTTGAATACTATATTATTATACAATATGTACTTTAAGAGTATAATAATTTGAAACATAACATAATACATGTATATAGTAATAGTAAAATAATGAGTCACATACAAATGTATCACACATAATAATATATTGCATTTTTTATAAACAAATCAATTACAAGAAAAGGTAGAATTGAGTTTATAAAATTGTAAAATAATACAAATTTTTCAGGGATGAAAATTATTAATATAAATTTGCATTTTATTTTTTTCATCAAACATGATGCTAAATTTTTAAATTGATTAATTTTATGATAGCAGACTACTGAAATAAATGACAGTTGAAATTTTATGCATCATTTATTGCACAATTTTATCAGATAGATTTTAAAAAATATTTTTATTAAAATTTTCGATTCAAAGCTTAAAATGCACAATTTTAAAGAAAATTCTATCAATATTCCTTAGTTCATGTTTCAATTGCAAAAATGTATCACAGTTTGAAATGTTTAATTCTTATTTATATTAGGTCCGTGTTCGGAGTGGCCATATGCGGATGCTATTAAAAAGGTCAGAGAAATGGGTGCCAAAGTTGAATTAAAAGGTGGAAAAGGAATAACTCGATGCAAAGAGTATAATATTCTTAGTACGCCAGCCTGGATGCGTCAAACTGCAACTTTTGCAGAAGTGCACTACTCCATAGGAAAATTAATCACTATGTTAAAAAAATGCATTAAACAAAAATAACTTGTGTTATTCGAATATCAGAAACTGTCACATAATGTTAAAATGTTACAACTCACCAATTTTAATAAATCTGTAGTATACGATGTAAAGTATTATTCCTAAATAATAATTATTATCAAAGTCTACTTGCCTTACTTATATTTATACTTAAACATAAAAAAGGATTTTATATAAAATTAAGTAAAAATTTCTGAATTTGTATTTTATAAAAGAATTATAGAACAATTTAAATAAAAAGATCTAAAATATACACTTCAGGAGTGCAAAATATTTAAGACAACTTCTGTAAACAGAGTGGAAATAATTCTGGCATAATAAAGCAGATTAATAGCGATGGTAACTTAAGATTTACTATAGACAATTATAACAGTAAACAATGATATAATATCTCATTATTAAAAGAATTATTAAAATTTTAATTTAACGTGATTGTTTATTTAAACTGGCCATCTACTCCATTGTCACAATTTTAAAACTTTTGAAGCAGATCGAAAATTTGTTAAGCTAAGTATTGCATTAAATTATTAACACGAATTAAAGTATTTAGTGTTGTTTGGAATGATATTCAATTTTTATAAAAAATAATTTATTAAGACATGCAAGTTAGATTAAAATAAATAGTAACTTTTAAAAAAACTAAGTTTAAATTATAAGTATTTACAGCTAATCTAATATCCTAATTGAAATTTAGAATACAATATTGTATTTAAAACTTTATTTTGTACCACTGTCCGCTATTATTGACCAATAACAATTTTGTGCTCAGAACATTATAGTAATCCTTATGCAATCATTTTTTAGAAACATCAATTTCAAATTGGCAGAAATGATACTTCGTATAATGTATTATCAAATCATATTAGATTTTTTAAATCATAACTAAACAAGTTGGAAACTTTTGCTTTGATTAATTTTTCATTTCCATTGATAACTAATCATTTTTTAATAAGAATATAAATGAAAACTATGTATAGGTACTTTTATAAAATCTTAAACCTAAAAAAAACATATCATAAATGTTATGATAATATGAATTTTTGTCATTAAGTTGTGTCAAACTTTTCATGCAAGAGTTTAGCGTATAATTAGAAGCCATGGTTTTATTCATGATTTATTTCAACTGACATGTAACCGTTTCTTATTAAGAAACAATTAATGATATGTTTATGTAATCATTTTTATTAAGCCGTAAGATTTAAATTTATATGCTTTCATTTCTATTTTAAGATACTTTTATGAAACCATGTAAGAAATGTTATACTTTCAAAGCGATCATTTGATACGCAATCATATAATAAATTTACTTAAAATTACTTACCTCAGTAATAATAGTGTTATATATAAATTATAGAAGGTTTTTATATACGAGTGATTTATGAAAAATATATTTTATTTCGATAATTTATTGTGTTCTTTACAGAAAAGTAAACAGTATGAGACACGATCTTTCCAATATGTTGATACGATGAATTCTTATGTCTATCGGTACGCTTAAAATAATCAACAACAATTATAATAACAATACGACACCTTTTCCCTTTATGAAACGCAAAGTGAACTTCTATTGTGACATTCATAAAAAAATTCGGGATCGTTTTTGATGTTCGAACCAGAAAGTCTTTTGTAGCGATCGAAATATAAGCGTTTCGCAGTTCAAGAAGAAAAGAGAAAGCGTTCCAAAGGTATTTTATGAAAGAAAATACTCATAAAGCTGAACAAAAGTAAAGTGTTTTATGAGAAAGCGTTGATTCAATCGATGAAAAGAGATGAATAATTCTACTTTAAGCCGATAATGATTAATAAATGAACAGTCTTCATGAATTTAATGAACGCAGACAGACATTCTGCACTTAAAAATATATACTTATCTACGATTAATTTTAAGGTACGCATCCACAAAAGGAACAAACAATATTTTTGCTGCTGTTGTCTGTATCTTTAGAACAGCAATGAATATTTACCAAATAAACCATTTTAAAACATGACATGCCATATTAAACCGTTCCCACGCGGGTCTGACAGTTCTGCAAATGTATTAATTATCTACTTATCTTTCAGTTATCTACTATCGTCTATAATACAAAAGTTAATAACTGAAACATGTCAGCATATATATATTATAATTGCTGCATTATATACATAGCAGCCATGATAATTTTTGGACTTTTTAGTTATATTACTGCTGCTAAAATGAACTGATCATACATTCATCAGCAGATTATGCTTATCAATATTTACCATCATTATTTAATACTAAGTTATGTTATATAGTAATTGTTACAGTAAAAATAAATATCTGAAATATTCATATTTAAAAGATATACTGAAATATTTATTGTTAAGCATAGTATTGCTCAATTTCCAAATTTAATCTCCTAATGTAGTATTTTATATAGCTGATATAATATTGATATTATCAGAAGTTTCTTTCTTTTCTGTTTTCTGAATAATTCAATTATATGTATAAAGTTTCAGGCGGTGGTTATCTACAAACTTCACGGCAAATAATATATTAACACTTACAATACTTGACCAACCAAACACATTTAAATTATTGCTGATACGTACACATAACAAGAATTTGTTTATTTCAGAAAATGATTGTACTTACACAAATAACAAGAGTAAATACTAAAAAGTACAAGTGTGGTCTCGAGGCTTAAGGTGGTATTTCGTGTCTTAAACTGGTTTATTTCAATTGTAACGTATCGTATTACTACATTGACGTCTATTGCTATGTTAAAACAGTCTTGTTCAAGAATTTGCACCGTGATAGAGATTTTATCAGCGCTAATCCAAAACTCTTAATACATGTTACAAGAACTGTTGAAAAAGAGAGAAAAAAAATAATAAACATGAGGTTTATCTCCAGGCTAATACATTCATTGCATTTCATGGACAACTTGTTCAAGAAGTTCGATGTCTCTCACTGTAGAAACAAAAACAAATTAGAATTTAAGTTCTTAAGTGCACCTACGCATAGCTGAATCAAAATTAGAGTGTTTCGAAAATAAGTTCTTTTGGCGGAAACAAATTGTTCCATTTTGAAATTTATTATTAACTAGTTATAACAATTAATAATTCAAATATACCAATTATCTTCTCCTTATTTTTAATCCAATCCTCTACACATCGTGGTAAATTTGAGATATAAATTCAACTGTTCATTTTTTCCAGCATGTCGAAACTTTCATTAGATCATATTATAACATTACTTGCTACAGCGTTGAAAAAAAAGCGAACAATTAAATATATTTCCCAAATTAAATATAGTATTCAAAGGATTTTATAAAAACAAGAAACGAGGCTTGCTATCTGTAAATTAATTGTAAGAACAATTGACAGAAAAATGTTCGTTAGTGTTTTCTTAGTGGATACGTATATTAAAGCAGAAACGAGGTTCGCGAATGAATACTTAGCCGAATGAAGGCAGTTGTTGATCCGGTTCGCTTTAGCTAAAACACTAAAGAAAACGCAAGGCAGGAATTTATTTTTGCAGAAGGATTCAAATCGGCATTCTGCGATTCAATCCGCACCCATTGATAACGCATCCAGCGAATTTCATGTTTTCACATTTGAAATAATCATGGTAACACGAGATCGCGTGTGCCAAAGAATAACGTTAGCGTGTACGTACGAGTTACTCGTGCAAGAGCGAAGCTTACTCAAGCATAACGAAAGTGCACGAACAAGTGCATTCAATCAATTTGAAATGTGTTCGTGAATTGCTGATAAACGAGTTTGACATAATCATCTGAAATCTTGATAATAGCTTGCGTTCGTACGCAAAATGTCGCGCAATTGGTCAAACAATAACGAGGGTTTCAAAAATTTTGAACCATCGCTCGATATTTTAATATTAGTTTACTATTAGGCACTTAATCCCCGTCTATTAAATGCTGATTCATTTTGACTGGTACAGTCATCATCAATGTTCAAATCAATTTTTTGAGTCTTTTCATATGAAGGTCATCATGGCGAATAATAACGTGCGAGTATTAAACGAGGAATAGACGTTATAATTCTTAGTACAAATATTCTTCGGCGAAGAAATTAAAAAATTACACATGTATTGCACAGCCGTAGAAAATAATAACCAATACGTTTATAATTAATAAACATATAAAAACAAGATATGACAAATGATGTTACTACGTGCTGACTGCAAAGAAAGATAATAAATGTATTAACCGCAATAACGGAATTACTGTTTAATCCGAACAACCTTCTTTGTTCCTTATTTGTTCCAGACTCAGATATAGATAATAAAAGACACAACTACATTAATTGCAAAAAAATAAAGAAATACAAACAACATTTAAAATTTCTTTAAAAATTATCTGATAAAATTAAGATGGATCTAGATAATGACAAAGTACCAGTAAAATATTACATACATATATGTACAAGACCTTAAAATTATTTCTGATGGACAATTCAAGTTACACAAAGTACTTGCTTTCCACATAATAGACAAATCTGTTGCGAAATCCAGAACGCATTTATGTTAAGTATATCAGTTACGATGTGAATGAAAAACACATCTAATTGTAAATTGTAACAAGATCCAAGCAAACTTATTTAGTGTAACATTGCACGTACCAAATTTATCCCCATAAAACGAGAAATTACTGAACTTACAAATAGTTAAACAAGTTTAATAATTGCACTAATATTATAAGACATTATAGTATGTAATATTTCATAATTTTACTAATTACTTATCATTAATTATTAAAGTTACTATCCTCAAAATAAGTAATTAGAGTAATTACTAATTTTGGTAATCAATAATTTTATTATAGTTCGTATTCATCCTACTATATTAATTATTAAAATGTCATATTAAAATGACTAATTTTAATAATTAATAGCTTTTCTCATGAACAAAATGATTAAAATTATGAATTATTACATTTATTAATTTTATTAAGTAATAATTTATAATTTTAATAATTACAGAATTACTTATCGTATTAGTTATACATTTTATCACACCAGTTAACAAAATAATTAAATATTGACATTAATAGTTAGCAACTGTTAATTCCAACAATTATTAATCCAATTAAATGAATTTCATTGATTTAAGTAACTAATTAGTAATTTTAATAATTGGTAATAAGCAATTAGAAAAATATTAATTTCAGTAATTAGTTAAACATGTTTAACTAATTTTCCTAATGATAAGACGTTATCGCTTTCAGGTTCTGACTTCAACTTTTTCAAATGCCACATATTTTCTCTCAACAACAGTTATTAGTTGTCACCTAATTCACCAAAGAATACAAATACTACAAGTTTTACGTTGGTATCTTCGGCACCGTAAACGTTAAACTTTCAAAACCGAAGTAAGAGAAGAAAATTCGAACGTCCTTTTTTTAACTATTCCTTTCATTTTTTGGCACAAGCTCCTGAAAGGCAGTAACCACACTTTTCAGACTTCGATTCCAATCTCGCAGCCAGATTTTGTGTTTGGGAAAGGTCCCGAGGTTCGCGTTCGCACATCCGTACAACTCAAATTCTACCATACGTTCAACTAAGTGCTAACAAAGGCTCTACCGTTATACGAGACCTCCTCGCTTTATCTTCTTCGTATTGCTTCATCTTCATCAGCTTCCTCTTGCCTTTGCTCTGCTTCTTCCTTGGCACTTCCGTTGTAGCGACTGCCTCCATCGTTGTTTGTTCTTCTTCTTCCAACATCCTTAAAGTTTCAATAATGTTTCGCGGCTCGGTGATGCGACCAGTGGCACTTCCATTTTTGTTGGCATAAACCACGGACAGATGCGAAAAACTCGATTTCGGTGGTGCCGTAATGTCAGCGAAGTCTCGGAAGTTTGCGAAAAAGTCACCGCCACGAATCGGTTGTGGTTTCGGGTTTCTGAAGTAGTTACTTCGGCCTCGATTTCCGCCATGATAGTAAGGATTGTAAAGACTATCGTCAGTCGAATACTCGTCAGCATCCTTATCTTCAGGGTAGTAAGTGCCACCTCGAATGACACCAAAATTGCCTGATCCCAAAATTGGATGATGGGTGTCTTTGGATGTCGCTGCTGCCGTTTGATAACCGCTGCGATCACGTTGGAAGTATCCTAGGAACCTGTTCGGTCTGTATCTCTGTTGTTCCGTGAAAGGAAGTCTGTGATTGGCGAACAATTCCGCAAATGATGGGAAGAAGTTTTGACTGTCAGTTTCTAAGCTCTTATCTTCCGAATCTTGACTTTGATCGATCTCTTTGGTATTTTCTGCTTCTTGATCTTTGGAAACGGATTTTTCGGTAGTGATGTTGACAGTGTCATCCATGATTTCGTGTGATTCCGTTGGTATTTGTTCGGTTGTATTTTTTGGAGATTCTTCATCTGCTTTGTCCTCGTGATGAGTTTCGTCAACTTCTGGTTCCATGTACATGTCTGAATCGTCGGTGTCTTCATATTCTTCCGCTATTTCAGATGCTGATGCTACAGAATCCTAGAACAAAAACAGAAATTTTGGGAATTTTAGATTTAAAGTTAAAATCAATGTTTTTAAGACAATTTTCTTTATGGTTGAGATAAAATAAGAGTTATAATTAATTCATATTCAGAGCAACATATTATTTGCGTTGCCAGGCTTTCAATCTGTAAACCTTCGCTTTATTCACATTCCATTTCAAGAAATTTAGAAAATGTATTAGTAAATTTCATAGAACTTGAATGCATATCAGGGAATATGTAATATGAAAATAGTATATGAATCGTAAAAAATAAAAAATCTAAGATATTTACTTTCTTTCAATCTTATTAGATTTATAACTGTTGTTAAATATTAATGTACTTGCTTTATAATTTAAATATTCTAAACACGTCTAATTTTACAGTACAACGATTATTTGTAGGTATGCTTCAAGCAAAATAATATTTTTATTAACTACATATAGATTTATGAAACTTCCGAATAAAAAATATTGTTAACAGTAGGTATTAAATTTATATATATGACCTCACTAATATATCATTTGAAGTCTGTGAATAGAGTTATAGCATAATTGTAGCAAAAGAAATTAATCTTTTGAATAATATTTGAAAATGAGTCTGAACGATTGACTCGTATTAGACGTCCCAACCGATTGACTTGAGTACCTCTTAGTTTTTACTTAAGTCCGAAACGAATGACTTTGTATTAACTTCTATAATTTGTGTTCGAAACGAGTGACACTACTGTTATTTCTTACAAGGAAAGGCATGCAAGTGTCCCACCCTCCCTTGCGCCTTGAGCGCGCCTTTTTTGGAAGAGGGTGGGAAAGATACCGAAGAGCACGGGAGGATCTCGAAGGTCGGCAACACCGAGGTTTTTCCCTCCAGCTGACACGCACGTTGTCCTAAAAAATACCGCTAGGAAAGGACCGAGGCCCTTCCTCGGTGGCCCTCCGGGAAAAACCCCGTTTATGATGGAGTAGTTATTGAAGACTAAATAAAAGTTAAAGTTCTAAAGGCATTGTAAAAGCATGTAAAAGTTAAAATTCTAAAGCATGTAAAACTAAATTGCCGACGATGGCTAAAAATCTGTCTTTCAAAAATAACTGTTAGACCCGGACCCATCATAAACTACCTACGTATTGTGTTCCGTCGCATGTTCGGAATATTTTCTTTAATACGAATGCAGAAAATAAATACGATACAGAAATGAATATATTAATAATTTCATTATATTTTTTTAATAATAGTAAGAATTTGTAAAGACGTATAGTCGCAATAAGTTGAGAAAGAACCGAAAGGCAGTAGCAAGATTAATTTATATTCTATTTTATATTCTATTACATACACAACCAAATGACATAATCGGAATTAAAGGCTTAATTTCGTGCCCATTATTGCATTATTAATATAATTATTAATTAAGCTGTAAACCATTTTGTCCAGTATATTGCTACCATAATTTTTAAATGATAATTATCTTTTAAAATCTATACAGAATTTAGTACTTACTTAAACGATTTTGATAAAAAATAGAATAAATTACAATTCTGCAGTAATTGATCAGTGATGGTATTATAGAAAACGATCTATTTTATAGACAAATATTTTCTTAAACCTTTTTATAGTTTTACAATTATTATTCTCAAATTTTTGTGAAATTTTTCAAATGTCTCAAGATATTTAATCGCTAGTGCAACTCGTTAAGTTTCTTTGCGGTGAAAGAAAGAGTAATTCCATTCCAATGCAACAACACTTACTAAAGGACATTACAAATTACTGTATTTATTGTTCTTCTGATCAGTTGTCATTAAAACATGCCAAGATGACGTATACCGAAGCTCCTTTCGCGTAGCTCATTGACCGATCTCATAAAAGGCGCGGGTCTGTATACTGGGACAACTCCACCGTGTTCCCGCCTTGACATTTAAAACATCTTCGTGCTGACGACCGCCTGCAAAACTAGTTGGCTTGTATCGCATGTACATCGGGGATGTGAAATGCACTTATACCTGTGTTATTCAGTATTATACCTATACACACTATTATTTGTTTGAAGAACGTGCACGTGCAGACGTGAGCAATAATCACGGGCATTGATCTTAAAGGCACGTTTCCACCAAAGGAACAGCAGTAACATTTTTAGCGTGTGTTAAACGGTCTCAACCACTCCTTCCTATTACATCCCTTTTACCTACAGCTTACTTACATCATCTCTTCTTCTTTTTATTACAATCTAGTTATACTATCAGCTACGGTGTTGCTAGTCGTATTAGTACAGTTATCCTGCGTAATAATAAGATTTTTTTTTGAATTTCTTGGAAAGTGTTAAAAATCCTGTATGATTATAGAAAATGCAAACGGAGCTAAATGGTTTCTTGTTTCTAACGCATCTTGCTCCAAAAGCACCCACTTATTCCAAAATTGAAATAGAAGGAAACATTTACAAAGTAGTTTATCGTGAGTCGACAACAATGAGAAGAAAAAGTAACTTAAATAAATTGAATCGAAACTTTAAACATTTTATGAATATCCATACACTACATGTACATTATGATGCATATCTGTAGCGAAAAAATACTCGCAATCTTATAATAAAGATATCTATAGGATATATGAAGCTATAAATAAATATAATAAAAAGGATTCCTGGATGTTCCTTTGGTAGATACGTACCTTAATAGTTAATACAAAAGATAATCATTAGAATTAGTTGCAACACGCCAGTGACACGCCTAGCATTGTTACCAATATGTCAGGTCAACCGCATCGTGTTAGTATTGTAACTCTATCTGCCTACTCTGTATTCGTAGTATTCTTTCCTTGCTCGATTATTTCCACTGATTCGTTTTTTAAAGGTATCTAAAAGTAACGATCGATTACGTATTCGACATTCGGTTATTGGTGATTTAATGGAAGACAAGGTATGCATGATTTTACGATTGTATGGTAATTCGACATTACATACACCTGTTGCACGCCAGTAGCAAATCACTGCACGTTGAGAAGAGGTAAATGCAAATCAAATATGTATTAGCTAATCCATGAAACTCTAGAATTAAATTGTTTCTTTTTTACCTATTAGACCACTTCATTGCAGAATGTTAATATAATTTCGAGCACCTTATTTCATCGCAAGTGTCAAGATCCAGAAACTGGAAATTCTACAAATATTTATTAAAAATTTATGACATGGCATATTATTTTGAAATATATTACGTACAAATATTCTACATATCAAAATTTTATGTTAAATAATACAAGTATTCGTAAAAATATGATTCAGATTTCGTTAAATTCTCCTTAAATATTGTGAAAGTTTTTACGATCCAGTAATAATATGATAATTAATGTAGTAATTAAATAATATTATAAAATATTATTTAACAAAGGCAAGTTCTAAGATATTTCTTTTTTGTTCATACTGGGAATAGTTCCGCATCAATACTATTACACTTGAATTTTCCGCTACTATTTATTTATGAGAATTTTATTAACAACCCTTTGCTGGAAATGTTGAATGTTTGAGTTTTTAAAAATTCTTATTATCACAGCATACATTAACTTCTATGAGGCAAGAGGCCCGTTTTTATTACGAAATATCGAATATAGGAATTTAATATTGTTTGTTAATGATATTTATAACGATATCCAATAAATCAAAGAGCTCATTAGATGTTACAATGGAAACAAAGACATTTCTCTTACTGAAATTTCTTATCATGTATATGATACTATTTTATACTTAAAAAATTGTGCAGAAGTGTGACTATTTATCTCATTTACAGTTAAGTATAAACTGTAGTCGAGAAGGTTATTTTATATTTTATAGAAGTCATTTATTTACCACATTATAATACTTTAATACATGTAGAAACACTAATTTGAAAATATAAAGGTTTATGAAAGAATTTGTCAACTTTTCAAAAGTTAATTAATATATGATACAAACAGGAAAATAATAATATTGATATTTTTAATTGTAATATATTTAAAATCGTTCAAACAGTTTAAAAATTAAAATACCGGCAAATTTTTGAAAGTCTACTTGTACACTTATTTTCAAGATACAAGCGTTTTTAGTCAAAACTATAAGAAAAATACATTCATTATTTTCTGATGTCATTTTTATGCAAAAGATTTTACTCTATCGTACGTATTGAAAAAATGAATTATTTGTGTACCACGTAAATACAGTTATATAAACTAAACAATATTTTCAGGAATTGTGGAATAATCCGCAATAGATGAATATAATTAACGTAATACAAGCATTGTAAATAGTCACACACGTATCTATTTAACATTTTTCTCATGCGTTAAATGACAAAATGAACATACAGTTTTCGTTTCTATTGGAAATGTTCAATTCAAGCAATTAACATCGTTCGCCATTTAAATCTTCATTTATAAACAGGAATTTATATGCCTTTGGTGATAAAGCGTAAACTCTTCTAAACGGCAATGAAATACCGTTAAGTGCAAACGCATAAATAAAATCGATAACTTTTAGATACTCACGGATATGGAAACAAATATAAATCAATGAGACGCGGGACATTTTCCGGCAAACGGACTAACGTACTACTGTAAATGACCTACGACTACGCGTTGCATAGAAATTCGTAGATCACAAGTACCCTTTACCCTCGTAAATGAAAGTGATGGATGAGATAAGTATTATAACGTGTAATAAGAGATGAACACGGCTATGCTTAAACAATTCTGGTCATGCAAGAAAATGTCGCGGTAAATTGGTTGGATGCAATACCTTGTTACTTGCTAATTCAATTAATGCAAAATGTAAAATTTATTATAGCAGAACAAATGTTACGCAACAACAGATTTACAATTTTTATACATGCACAAGAAATGTTTAATGTACCATTTACAGTAATGTTTAAACTGAACGAGGTACATTTGCATATTGTAGCTGAAATATCTTTTTCAATGTTAGTAGTATAAAAAATTTTGTATACATCCGAATATTTTTTTCAGAATTTTTAACGTCATTAAACTTTTCTTGGTAGAACTATATATTGTTTTGTGTTATATTGTTGATAAAAAATTGAAACTTGTAATAACGTAAACTTGAAATTCTGATTCAAAAATAAAAATTTTACTTAAAATATTCAGATTCTACAACTATCAATTATGTAAATATGTAACAAGTATTTCCTTAGTTAAAAATCACAGAAACAATTGTACTATATTAACACTTTTACGACCGCATCTTTGCGCAGTAAAACGTCGCCATGAGCCGGCAATATTTTTGACATCACGTGCAAGTCAACGGCTAATAACAACGGCCTATCAATGACACCACATAAGTGTCACCGGCCAACAACGACTGGCCTGCCTATGGCACCACGTTGGTGTCACCGGTCGTGAAAGTGTTAATAGAAAATAGTTCATTTATTTTGTAACATATGTTAAATTAAATTATTGATCATAGTATTTTTAATTATTTTAAAACTTCGAGAAATAACAATTATATGAAAAAATTGAACGTATTACTAAAAGGCAATAGTAAAAAGCAACATACATCAGTTGCAAAAACATTACGGAAAACATGCATGTAATTATATCTCGGATATAACTTTATCGAAGAACACGTGTAATCAAGTTCTTCATACTTAGGTATACAAGAAATCTAATCAATGGAACGTTTTATGCATCTTTCACCGGGAAAAGTTTTCTCGTATTTGTTCATTTCTTTCTTCCTCTTTTCTAATCAAAAAGTATAGAAAAGCAATGAAGTAATAAGTGAAAGGTTCGTTCGCTTGAACGAGATCAAAATCACGACACGTCTCTCCCCATCCTTCACAGTGATCACAGTTCAGGACAGAGGAAGATGGATTGTTGCATCGAGTGATCGCAAAAGAAAGAAAAGAAACTGTTATTAACAAGCGATTACAGAACGCATATTAATCATGCAGCTTGTTCGTAGAAGCGATACAGACACGTCGATGATTATTATATTAAGTTAACGTTTGTACGCAGGGAATCCAATTAGTTGCAATATTCTACCCCCGCCCCCTCGTATTTGATACAAATTACACTGTACGTCCGGTTTAAATGTGTGAAGATTTGTTTTACATGAAACCTCTTTCATTATATGGAAGAAACCTAAGAGAATATTTGAAATTATTTCTAAATTATTATTAATGATTGTAATAATACCAGTGTAACTTTCTTAAATGGAACTACACCTATTTATTATTAATATTTTATTACACGTTATAAGAATTTAACGGTATATCTAATGAGAAATTAAAACAATAATTAATTGGCTCTTATTATAGCAAATAATAGCATGGGAAATTTAATTTCTAATTTAATTATTACGAAGTAACAGATTTGCACCGTATTGCTGTTTTTTTATCAACATTTCGATATTTATCATAATTAACTTCTGGTACAGCTATCACTTATAAAACTTTAATGCAATACTTTCTTCTATCTTATTATTGTTTATTATATGTTGTTTATTATTATTAGTCATAGCAAATTATTCGAATCAATAAAGACGAAATGTTATATGTGGTTAATGTTTTATGTTCCATTTCCTGTAATATGACAGCGTTTCTTCAATTGCACTGGGTGCTGTTCCACATGAACTTATTTTGATTTATGAAACGCTATAAAATCATAAAAAAATGTATAGTTGAATCATCTTGTAACATATTTCCGTCCAAAGAAATCTTGCTAATATTTTCACTAGTGTAGAAATATTAGGAAGAAATTAATTTTTTTTTTCATCTAGGCTAATCTATCTCACTATGAAACAATTAATCCATCTCATTCTTGCGTGACAATATTATAGTTTACATCAAACATTTATTAATACTTTCTACAACAAAAATTAATAATATGTTCACAGTAATTTGCGATGTTGCTCAGAAAAATTCGTTAATATTATTACTTCTAATAAGTGCTATACCATATGGAAAATATGATAATGACTAAATGGATATGGAAAAAGGAATATGGATAACGACTAAAAGTGCGCGAAGAAAGTAAAAAATTCAAATTTCATTGATTATTGATGATACAGTTGCAATGTAATACATCATTTTATGTAAATAAATATTTTATATTGTAAAATACTTTTGTTTCTATTTATCACTTTGTGATTATTGAGATATTTTTATTACACTGTGAATATTTGAATATGTTATAATTGCATGTATATACTCGCTCTAATTACTCTATTGCAAAATTAATACATTCCGATCTCAATTATAATTGATCGTGGGATATCGACCTACGACGTTTGGGTACCATTCCAAATCAAAACGATGGTCACGTTGCAATAATGATTGATTGAGTTCTAATAAGCTGGTCCTTTCGTTTCTAGATGTGCAACTTACGTTTTGTGGTTATTTCTTATACTGTATTGCAGAGTTCATTAAAATTCCGTGTATCGTTCCGTCGATCTACATACTAAGGTGAAACGAAATTTGTTGGTATGCAGTTATTCAACAAATCCTTTGTAAGATCTATAATTTTATTTAATGTTGCATTATTTAGTGTTTGTCGAAATTAATTTGGCAGGCTATGTTTCTTGAAGATATAAACTTTTTTATGCAGTATTCAATATTTTATTTAACAGTGTTATTAGAATTGATGTATTTACGAGTGTCTCAAGCAGTTCATCGCTTGAAATGTTTTTATATTGTCAGTAATAATATATCAACACAATCAGTATAATAATATAGAATAATTTTAAATAATTTGTAGAATAACATAGGTAATAATAAGCTAATAGTAACGTTCAGGCTTAATTAATGATCATTCTGTATATTTATCCTTAATCATTTTATTTGAATGCTCGATATAATTTTAAAATACGATTTGTAGGAGAATACTATTCAAAAGAGAAATATTATATACAATTTCGTCATATAGATTAATATCTATAAGAAACATAATTTGTAACGTACAGGGCTGAATAACGTAATACTACGGAACAGAGATAATTTCACGTGCAAACATAAAATGAAAATGTCAAATAACAATTTCTTGTACCTGGTTTTGTTTGTATTGAAATCGAATTTAACAATTATTCCAAATGTTTATAAACATATGCTCGAAACTTTTCTTGTTTATCTACGACTAGAAAAATAATAATGTAAATAATTCTTTCTGTTATAGTAAGGTAATCATTAAATTATCAATCCGAATTAAATCCTCAACCATCAAGTCTCAAAGTACCTTATTTTTATAGATTCAATTACCGCGTACATTTTTACCACAGCTAAAGGTTTTTCCGACGAAAGGACACATGTAGCTATAGTGTTACTTAGCGATCAAGGGTGGCGAGAATTCGACAAAGTTCCTTTGAACTTTAGTATTTTTTTGTCCGCACATACGCGCAAATGTCAATTAAGTTCGAACAACCCACATTGTATTGAGTATTTAACAATTTCAATAACTCAGCAATTAATGCATATTGTAAATTAATGTTATTAATGTGTATTATCAGTCACTTTTTTAATTATATTATTACTTATGTTTGTAAGTATCGTATATTAACTTTAGAATTTTTTTGCACTATACATATAATGGTACATTAACAATATTGATAAAAATAGTGACAGATTTTAGCTATATTAATAATTACGATTAGTGAAAATGTTCTTGAAACTGTCCTTTTTCTTACTGTAAACGAGTATTTGTACAAATGCAAATTAATTTCAAATTCAATTCATCTAAAGAATGACGCCGTACGAGACATATATGAGACGAAATTAAAATCCAACAATTTATTAATTAATTCATAAGTCAGCAGAGTGACTTAACCACACACTAACGAGGGCAGTTTCCTTATGTCTAAATTAACTTCTATAATATGATTTATATTCACGAATGGAATTAGACTTTTGCTTTTCTTACTCAAAATAAAGTTACAAAACATCACTGAATACGCTAATGTGAAATCATTTCGTACGAATAATTTGAAATGACATGAGATAAATGTATTTTACAAATTGCATCGTCCATATTTCCTGATATAAATCAACCTTTCGACTGACGCATAATTTATATTTTATTTGTTACTGTTTCTTACCTCGTGTTCAACTGTATCCTCCGGAACTGGAGCTCCATCTGAAACAAATAACAAATCTCCATAAATAATTGGTTTATTGTGAAATATATTATTATACCACAGTTTTTTATCATATTCTTCTGACTAGGTACAAGCTTTCATTTATTTCATTATTTTTTAAAAGTTCCAGTTTACATAGCATATGATACGTCCTCATTTTAATAAAATCATACAGACATATCATATATAGAACCAGCAACCGAAACCATCTAAAAAAAAATTAAAGGTGTAATGTTTACTACGAGAAGAACAGAATGTTTCGTAATATGTTAGTCCGTACTTCCCCGATAAGAAGAGAACGCTATTATAGCGTCAGATTATACTCTACTAATTTACAAATATTTTGCCCATTTGTCAAAATTGTCAACAGTAAGGAGGAATTAAGTTAACTCAATAATTCATATTTTATAGAATTAATACATTCAATAAAGATTTATTAATTCTTTGAACAACTTTTCTGTATAAATTTGTTTATATGCATGTTATCAATACTAAAATTTATTAAACTGTTTAAAAAAAAATTAATTTGGTAATAAATTGTCATATAAATGTTTGTTTAGCAACATAATCAGCCTGCAAGTTTTTAAAGGACAACTTTAACAAGGAAAGCGATATAACTTAAAAACTCGGAATTTCAAGAGCGTCATGTTAATGAGTTTTTATAAAACAGGTCAATAAATTTTTTGACAAAATTCATTTGTTCATGCGTTGTAAAAAAAAACATAGATTACACTGAACAAAAAAGGTTAATTATATTTTTGCTCTTGAATAATCGATTGGCTTTTTTATTTACCTTATTTGAATTTGTGCAACTTTTTTTGTGGAATTACATCATGGGCAAGGTCCATAAGAAAAATATTGAAAGAAAAGAATATATCCGAAGAATGAATTGATAAAACCTTGCAAACAATCCAGGAAAATATTTGGGACACTTCAAAAAATGAACGGAATATGACTGCACTATAAGTCATGCAGATTTTGAAATTTACCGATAATTCATTACAGAATATGGTTGGTTTCGACTTTCCTTCTCTTGAATTAAAGTCGCATCAACTACTTGGTTATTAGTAACTATTTAGTTAGTCAGATTTAAACTGACGATTATCTTGTGAAAAATTTATGGAACTAGCAGTTATTGCAAAAAATATAAAAGCTATAGAAAATAAAGTGCGGTTCATAATTTTATGATTGAATTTTATGACATCCTGTATGATCGAAAGTATACTGACTGCTGCTTCCACTGCTTATACAATAGCCGGTTTTCTGGAACAAGCAGATGTTATTTATAACTGAAGTTCAACCGCATGCATACATTTTTTTTGCTTTTCAATCTTCAAGATCGATGGATTTCATAAAATTGAAATTGAATTGCGGACCAGCAAACATTATTCGATGTAAAATCAAGATGTTATGGTTCAACGATATGCAAAATTCTCTATTAATTCGCTAATAGACATAATCCTAAAATTATTCATCTAATGTAAAATAAATTGAATACCAGCGAATGATAAATGCGACTGGTATCACGATCTACATAAACGTGATCATTATTAATACGTCGCGACAGGTTTTATGAAGACTTTATCGATTGAAATTACGACGGAGACAACAGTAGTTTAATTGATGTTTGTAAAAGTGATTCGATTTCTGTTTACTTAAACTGTTCATGTCATTTCTTAATCATACATATCTTCGAAGGATTTTAATTAAAATCTGAAAAATGAATGCCTCTATGTTCAATTAATTTTAAGCACTGTTTATTATGATCATGGACATATTAATTATATGTTTATTCAAGCTTCATTTTTATTTTTATTAAGAGAAGTATTAATCATGTAATGTAATGAACATTTGCATAATATAGTAGAGACTTTAACAGATATTTCAGTTAACACATCTTATAAATATACATATATTTTCCTACTAACACACATGATAATTTTGTAATATATTAATCATTTGTTTTTAATAATTGTGTATATTAGTATATAAAATAATTTAAGAACAATATATTTTTGAAATTAATTTATATTACTGATTATTATTATTAAGTATGGAACGTGAGTATGTATATTGCTCATTATGAATGAGATAAAAAAAATGTCTATTTGTCAAGATTTTATATGAGAAACTAATTTTCCTATTTTAATACATAATGAAGAAATAATGCAAATCCTGGGAACTTTAACTTTAATTGAAATTAATATAATTCTTCAGAATATTGTGATAATAAATCTATAATTGCAAAGTCAAAATTTTAAATGATAAAGATTACTTCTTATAGTTTTCCATGAAGTAATAGCACAAATCATTGCAAACATATTTAATCTCTCATCTATGCGTTTTCGATTAGGATAAAGTCAATTTTTTTCAGCACTTACAATAAAAAATCCATTAACCCGAATGGATTAGCTTTGTTCAGAACAAATACAAATATCATATAATTTCATTTTAATAAACATACATCCATACATTTAAAACCAAATACGTCTCGAAAATATGTATATTATTATCTACCAATAATCCAATGACGAATTAATTTGTCATGTTCGGTATAGAAATCAACATTCTTATAGAAGTATCTATAACCGTTGAAGAAAAATTCAGAAACACTTAAAAACGAAAATGGATCCAGTTGCTTTCCAGAAAGAACAAACAACACAAAATCACTGAAAACTTAACTACAAAAGTTACGGAAAGTTAGAAAGGATTAATTAACGGAGATCATTCGAGCGTATAGCAACGACAGTTTTCTTTCGTCGTTGTCAGGAGAGAAAGTCAATTACTGCGATGACAAGCCACAAAACATTTAGCAACGACGTACTGCGTCTCCGGAGATCTTCATGCTACGTGTTCAAAGTTAAAACGGTTCTTATAGTCGTTCCCTTGGCTCCACCTGTCAGCTACAGTTTGAAAGACAAGGCGTTCAGTTAAAATCACCTCATGCATTTCCTATTCACCGTGTATTTCTTTTTCCGTTTGATTAGTAAATATACATACTGGACAAATGAATTCGAACAAACTGCTTTCTCGGTCTCATTAAGGTAGTCGGGTCAATTGTAACCCACATCCACGGGTCACGAGCATCGGCGCAATCCAAATGAAACATTACCATACATTAAAAAGTGTAGGGCATCAGAAAACATCAGTTTAAAAAATAGGGGTTGCAAGTCATAGGCTTGTCAGCAATTAAATTTTTTTACGATTATGTAAAGAAAAATATAAAAAGTGAGAAGACCAAGAATTTTAGACAACTATTTTAAATAATCACTTTTAAGACATTTGTATAGCTTTTATATTTACAATAATTTCGGCCATTTTATTATTCATTTAACAATGAACGTATTAATAATACGAATGAAACATGTAAATGTGATATACAATTTATTGGTTATAACTCGTCTTACTGCTTTCAGCCGAAGTAAATAAATGTTTATATCATTTAAATTACAGTTGAGAATGGTGACACGTGCATGAAAATAGGATATTATGTGGTTAAAAAAATGGCAGTTTTATGCAACAATTTTATATAAAATCTAATAGCAACATGCTTTATTCAAAAATCTCACAAGTAAAAGTAACTTCCTTTTCTTAAATGCTTAATAAAATGCTCTTTTCACGTTGCTCTGATTTCTGGAAACAAAAAAATGTAAATTATATTCGAAACAAATTATAGAATTTTTAGAAACGAAAAATTACTTTTATCCCACCTTGTATATGCAAAAAGAAGTCATTCGTTTAATACTGCATCGGTAACTAAATTCAAGGCAAATTGCTCTTACTCATGGTCGTTTGTAATTACATCAATTCGTTACATAATAAAAGAAAGTATTCGGAACCATGATAAAAAATGCTGTAGAACGTATTCATTGGTTGATGCCGATACACTAGAACGTATTAATATTTAGTACTGCTCTAACTTGAGAAAACAAGTGTAATATGCACTTTGACGACTAATTTACCAAAATTTATGCAGAAGTACATAGTACTGTTTGTTGAAATATTCCGAATTCGTGTTTGTAAACAGAGATTATAACAACGATGTGTAACAATCCTGGAACCTAAGTTCAGATAGTTACGAGCGCTAGGAAGGTAAAGAGCGGCTTTTACCCACTGAACGACTCGTTTTCGCAAATAAATATCGTGGGATTCGTGTGGTGTGCGGTTAAGGAGTGAAATCCACAGGTCAATATCTTTCAACAATTAGATTTATTCAATAGCGATAAGAAATGAAACTAACAAATAAAAATAACAACAAAATAAAGAAATATACAGGGTGTTACCTGTAACGCTACTCACGATTTTTCTCCCACTTGCAGCCACCTTACGAAAAAAAGTTTACAATAAAATTTGGAGGGTATGAAGTGCACAATAGATATTAGTAAAGCAAATTTTGAAAACAGTTTATCCTCTTGGCAAAGTCAAGGTCACCTTGGGTTTTTTAAATAGGAACATACAATTTTTTTTATTCATAGCTTTAGAGGACATCGAGACGAATTCAAAACATATATTACATTATATTTTTATTAACATATTACTCGATTTACAGAAATGGAAATGTGAAGTAAAAGACTGGAATATTATGTGATGGAAGGCGGCATATATTACATTTTGAACATGTAATTAAATAAAGTGTATTTTTCTTATATTCTAGTCGCGTGTTTACATTCAGTGATCTCTTTGGAACCAAATAATGGTTACCCTACCAAAGTCAAAAGCTAAGTACTTTACATTTTTCCACTTCTGTAAATCGAGTAATATGTTAATAAAAATATAATGTAATATATGTTTTGAATTCGTCTCGATGTCCTCTAAAGCTATGAATAAAAAAAATTGTATGTTCCTATTTAAAAAACCCAAGGTGACCTTGACTTTGCCAAGAGAACAAACTGTTTTCAAAATTTGCTTTACTAATATCTATTGTGCACTTCATACCCTGCAAATTTTATTGTAAACTTTTTTTCGTAAGGTGGCTGCAAGTGGGAGAAAAATCGTGAGTAGCGTTACAGGTAACACCCTGTATATAGATTATAAATAATTAATCAGAATAAAGAATTAAATAGCTTTTGAAATAATGATAATAATAGAAATAATAGAATTTGACAAATTAAACAAAATGTAGTAGATAATCGTGAATTTAACGGAATGAAACTCGCTGGTTAATACTTTATATTGGATCGTATCTAAATCTGATCTCTGATGAAGCTAACTTTGCTTTTATAAAGGTAACTAAATTTGATATTCTTTGTATATTCGATTCTCGTGTTCGAAGCTATCGCAATGACAAGATTTATCTTGATTTGTACGATTGTGACTTATATAAATGCTCTTTGACGAAATTAATTAATATTAGCGCTTTATAGACTACCGCTGCGAGGAATCCGACCCAAGTGTGATTCTCTAACTAAGTGTACCTAAATACACTTTCGCAAAATTAGACAGATTTTATCTATTATCTAACGCGGTGCAGTCGACAACGAAGATTACGCTAGAGTGAGAACAGTATTCTTTTATTAACTCAAATTACCAAAATTTATTTGTATCTAATGAATAACTCTTCGGAACAGTTACTCTTTTATTAATTTGACTCGACAACTAATGTTTCATGACCCTTTTAGCCAAAACGAACACTGACATCAGATACGAGATCGACCCACGACCAAGTATCCAAGTGGCGTATACCCGTTTGACCAATCAAGTATCAAGATTCGTTGCGGCTCTTGACAGCGAAAACTGTTCCTAGTTATTCTTATCAAAGAGACTTGTGAATAGTTCGACTTTGAAAACTGTTCTGCTTGTAGACGGGTTTCGCTCGCGCTTTTATACTCGCAGGTTCGCCGAATTCCTGGAATTTCTATGACGTCAGAATATCTCAATTTTCATATAAATTCGTTATTATACATTAATTATAAGATTTAATGGTTTAATTATATTTTAAATATCGCTCTTTAATTAATGGCTAACAATTTGATATTAAAATAGTAGTACAACGGTGTTTTAGCGAAAAATACATTTTCT